ATGTCTATTCCTATCTATTTAAGATTGTTCATATCTATCTCACTATCCCAGTGCACTCATATCTATTTCAGTTTGTTCATACATATATACATATATATTCATGTTCATATGTATATATCACAGTCTGTTCATATCTATCGCAGTCTCTTCCTATCTATCTATCGCAGTCTCTTCCTATCTATCTATCGCAGTCTCTTCCTATCTATCTATCGCAGTCTCTTCATATCTATCTATCGCAGTCTCTTCATATCTATCTATCGCAGTCTCTTCATATCTATCTATCGCAGTCTCTTCATATCTATCTATCGCAGTCTCTTCATATCTATCTATCTATCGCAGTCTCTTCATATCTATCTATCTATCGCAGTCTCTTCATATCTATCGCAGTCTCTTCATTATCTATCGCAGTCTCTTCATATCTATCGCAGTCTCTTCATTATCTATCGCAGTCTCTTCATTATCTATCGCAGTCTCTTCATATCTATCACAGTCTCTTCATATCTATCTATCTATCGCAGTCACTTCATATCTATCTATCTATCGCAGTCTCTTCATATCTGGTTCATACAAATATATTCTAAAAATATTTTCCTAAAATACTGAGCCTTAATAAATAGCAGTTTTTACTGTGTATACAGATTTTTCATTTGTTTTCTCCATTCAAGCTTAAAAAAGAACTAATTTTTGTTAATTCTTTTTAAATAGCATTTTTGGAATATAAAAGCAAACAATTTCTTAGATCTAAATTCCTACAGAACAGATTCCATTATTTCTTTTGTGAAGAGTATGTAGAAAAAAAAAGTCTGTTTTTTTTTTTTGTGTGTGTGTGTTGGGGGTGGGGGGATAGTTCTTTTCAAACAAATCCAAAGTAAAAGACATGCTTTGGTCTCTACTCAGTAAGGCCATAAAAATTGGCCATATTTTGGGTGTACTTCCACCAAGATGAATGAACTGGTGACCTTTGACCTGTACCTGTCAAAAACAGTCTTAGGAATACAGAGCATTTACCAGCAAATAAAGTGGGTTACATCTCTGGGGACATGTTTTCTACAGAACTGACAACATTCTTTCCCTTTTACACTGTTTATTTGATGGATGACTTTAGCTTCAAAATTCCCTCCCATTCAAGTCTCTTGGGTTTGTTACAAAAACCAGTAACACTCTCTCTTGCCAGAGGTTCTAGTCTTCAATGGGGCAGCTGGATAATTTTTCAATTTTCTGTGATTTATTTTTTTTCAGCCTCTTCAAATTGTGTGCTCGGAAATTCCCTGGCTAACCTTTCTAAATAAGAGAAACAAACAAATACCATGTAGGTCAAATATTTGAATCCTACAAAGCAAGTTTGAATTGGTCATTTTGCTTTGTTTTATTATTCTGTTCCACAAATATCAGTCAGGGTGCAGCAAAATAAAAAAAAATCAGCTGTTAAAAGCAGAGGCACCTTGTTACTCCACGACAGAAAGTTAGAGGGTGAAGATCATCTTGAATAAGTTGGAAGATGATCCTGAAATAATATATATATATATATATATATATATATATATATATATATATATATATATGAACTTTATATCAATTCTTCATGAATTTCTGATCTTTAGTTATGATTAATTAATGATGAACATGTCATTTTCGTTTATATTCCATTTCATCACAATTCTTCTGTTAAGCTTGGAGAGTAATTATACATTCTTATTGCGCAAAGTAAAGTCCAGTAGTGCTTTAAAAACCTCAGAGAATTTCACTAAGATATCTTTCATCAATCCTAAGATACAATGGTTCAAAGCTTAATCTAACAATTAGACAATTTTGTTGTTGCACTGGGTATATATATATATATATATATATATATATATATATATATATATATATATATATATACACAGTGTTCATAAAAAGTTCGTGTGCACTTTAAAAATGTATAACTTTATTTGTATTTGCGATAGAAATAATCTGTAAAAAAAATGTTATAAAGTTTAATGTACCTAGTTTTAAGTATAGCTAAAATAACTAATGTGATTTCAGGCATTACTGTAAATGAGTTGGCAAATGTTTTCCGTGAACTGCAAAATCGTATTACCCTTTGTATTGCTAATGATGGAGGGCATGTGAAAACTTAAATAAAATTTCAATAAAACCTTAAAAAATATAGATTTACTTCTTTCTAATCCTTTTTACAAATTATTTCTATTGCAAATACAAATAAAGTTATAGATTTTTTAAAGTGAACACGAACTTTATGGACATCCTGTATCTGTGTATGTTTATATAATACTATTAAAATTATTTCAGTATTCAGATGTGTAATTTTTCAGATAACATACTTTAGAATTTGTGCCACACTTAATATATATTTCTTAAAAAGATCACCTATTCTTATGGCATTTCGTAGAAGAGATGTTTGGACTAGTTTTGTTAAAACTGACCACATGCCCCTTCACCCAACACGATATCTTCCTCTCTCTTCATTTTTACCCCTTCCTCTCATTTATTGCCTTCCACTACCACTAAATTTTATTTTCTTTCTTTCTTTTTTTAAATCAATTTATTTCCTGTATTTGGTGCATTTAAACCAACCTGAAGATGCAGTGTAAACCAACTGTTGAAATAAATTTGTTTAAAGCTGAAAAATTCAAATGTAAAATTTTTCTTTGAAATTTTTCTTAAATAGATATAAAAGTGAACATTGAAGTCAGAACTCAAGAGGTGACAGACTGTTTCATGCTAAATGCAATCATCAGGCCACTTTTATATTTGCACACGCTCTATGATATTGAACACTTTTCCCCATAATTATAGCATACCTAAAACTATATTTTTTCACATATATATTTATTAATGCATGTTTCATTAAATAATATATAATGTGGTTTCATGCAGCAAGAGCAGACTATCATTGTTGTTTCGTCCATTGTTGTTTGATTTCTTGAAATTGTCATCTTTGATAATGGCTTATGTAAGCCAAAAGCTTTGATAGGATTAAAACATGTATCAATATGGTGATTTCCTTTCGTCTTTCAATGATAATGTTATTAAGCTTATCAGACAATATCAAAAGGAACTTACTTAAAATAGACAAAACTTGTCTATATTATTTAATGAAACATGCCTCAATATATATATATATATATATATATATATATATATATATATACTCCCATAAATCATTGTGAGTGATCTAAAATGACGTGGATTAATTGTAAGTATTCTTATAATTACTGTATTTTCCGGCTTACAAGATGCTGCAGCTTGGAAGCTGCACCCTAATATTGGAAAGAAATTTCTAAGAAAAAGAACATCATTCTCATACAACAACACATTTATCATTCATCCCTCAAATATTGGCGGCATATATTGTTTACATTAATCACTCATCTGATTTTGTTTGTATGGCAATGACATGCTAGTCAAGAGAAGAAATACTTCCATTGCTGCTAGTAAACAGAGCATATTTAAGCTTGTGGCTTGGCTCCAGGAAGGTTTATAGTCTTGGATATAATTATAACAGTTAAGTACTGAGGTTACATCATATAAAAGGCTAAATTAGATAGCTAACATTATAGTGTGATGACTCAACATACAAATCCCTGTCTCTATCAGTCAAGACAATTAGGTCTATGATCACATAATTTAAAATTTTGAATTGAGATTTTTATTGCAGAACATGCCCACCTTAACTGAAAATGTTGGATTTGCCCGTGCTCTGCCTCAGTATTACTACTACAATATTATTACTATTATTTTATTACTAGTTTTACTTCATCATATTATCGTTGCTTTTTATCCCAACACTCTGGCTCTATAGACTCTTTATTATTATTATTTTATTACTAGTTTGATTCCATCTTATTATTGTGGCTTTTTATCCCAACACTCTGGCTCTATACACTCTTCATTATTACTATTATTTTATTACTAGTTTTATTCCATGTTATCATTCAGAATTTTTATTCCAACATTCTGGATCAATACACTTTTCTTATTTTATTACTAGTTTTACTCCATCCTAATGGAGAAAATGGCCTAAAGCTGATAATAATAATAATAATGGTAATAATAATAACAGTGACTGTAATATGTGCATATGGTACTAATTTTGGTATGTGTGAACAAGCATATTAATGAACAAGATGTCAGTGGCTCCAGTAACAACTTTAAAATGCAAATTTTTCATCTTTACTTGTCAGTTCTACCCAAGACGACATTGCTAGGGTCAGTAGCTGTAAAGAACGGACGACTGATGCTTCCATGCCATTCTGACCAGAAAGCATTTTAGTTGGACAGGCTACTGGCAGAATGCCAACTGACGCACTGACAGCCAAGAATAGTCAAAAGAGAGAGAGAGAGAGAGAGAGAAGTCTTCCCTCTTTTATTAATGTTCCCCACCAGAAGCGCCTACAAGAACGTGCAACAAATTAGTGCGATTGTGTGTGGGGGTTGGGTGTTGTGGAATTGGTGAAGGAAGAGTCTTGGTAATTGCCCAAAGGCTTTGATTGTCAAGACAGTGCCAGGTGGATGGGATCAGCTTTAAATTTGGATAATCATGTTCTTTAGCATGTAGTCATTTTTCTTTTCTTTCTTTTTTTTTTTACTTTCTCATTTCTTTCTTTTTACTTTTTTTTCATTCCCTTTTGTATATCATTTGTTCTTTTTTTTCTATTATAGAGTTCTTCCCTTTAGTCTTCATTTTTATATTATTTTCTATTCTTCATCTGTCTTCCTTTTGTCTTCTTCCATTCCTTAGGGTATTTATTCTCCTCTTTTGTTATTTTCTTTCTTTTCTTTCCTTTTACATTCTTTATTTTCTTTCCTTTTTCTTCTTCCAATTTTTAAGATACTTCCCTATTCGTTTTCTTTCCATTTTCTTTCTTTTTTTTTTTTCCATTTTCTTCTGCTAATTTTTAAGGTATTTTCCTCTTCTTTTTTCTTTCTTTTCTTTACTTTTTTTTCTACCAATTTTAAAGAGAGTTTTCTCTTCATTTTTCTTTCATTTTTCTTTATTTTCTTTCTTTTCTTTTCTTTTACAATCTTCATTTTCTTTCCTTTTTCTTCTTCCAGTTTTTAAGATACTTCCCTCCTTTTACTTTACTTTTTCTTTCTTTATTTTTTTATTTTTTCTTCTACCAAATTATAAAAAAATCTCTATTCTTTTTTTTCCTTTTTCTTTCCTTTTTCTTCTGCCAATTTTAAGGTGCTTTCCTCCTTTTTCTTTCTTTATCTTCTTTCTTTTCTTTCCTTTTTCGTCAACCAATTGAAAGACTTTTCTCTTCTTTTTTCTTTCATTTTTTTTATTTTCTATCTTTTCATTCCTTTTTCTTTCGTTTTTTAAGATCCTTCCCTATTCTTTTTCTTTGTTTTTTCTTTGTTTTTTTTCCTTTTACATTCTTTTTCTTTCCTTTTTCTTCTGCCGATTTTTAAGGTGCTTTCCTCCTTTTTCTTTACTTTTTCTTTATTTTCTTTCCTTCTTCTACCAATTTTAAAGATACTTTTCTCTTCTTTTTTCTTTCATTTTTCTTTATTTTCTTTTCCTTCTATCAATTTTAAAGAGACTTTTCTCTTTTTTCTTTCTTTTTTCTTCTCCCAATTTATAAGGTACTTCCCTCTTTATTTTCTTTCCTTTTTCTTTCTTTATCATTTTTTCTTCTTCCAATTTTAAAAACACTTCCATCTTTTTTCTTTCTTTTCTTCTTTTTCTTTCTCATTCTTTTTTCATTCTTTTTCTTTCATACAGTTACTTTCATCTATTTTCTTTTTCTTTCATTCTCTTGCTATTTTATCTTTCATTCTTCTTCCATTTCATAAAAATCTTTTCCACTACTTTCTTCTTTCTCATTTTTCTTTACTCTTTCTTTTTCTATTTCTTGAAAGTGTCTTTCTATCCATTTTTTATTCTTTCTTTTTCTCCTTTTTTTTTTACAGTTCCTTTCCCCTTCTTTGTTTACTTTTTTTTTAGTGATTTTTCCTTTACTTTCTATTTTCTTTTTTTATATCTTTATCCTCGTTTTATTTTCACTGTTATTTTCTTCTTTGTTTCTTTCATTTTTTTCATCAATTTTCCTTTACTTTCACTTTCTTTCTTTTCTTTCTTTTTTGCAACTCTTTACCTTCACTTTCACCTTTTCTTCTTTTTCCTATTTTTCTCCTCCTTCCATTTCTAACAGTTCCTTTCCTCTACTTTCATCTTTTTTCTTTCTTTCTTTACTTCCTGCATCTTCTTTTACTTTCTCTTCTATTTTCCTCTTTATTTATACTCCTATTTTTTAATTGTTGTAAAGCATAAAACAGTTTTATGCTGAAAAGCAACTAAAATTAGATCAAAGATAAACTAGGCTTAAATTAATGATAACCTCAATACTTCACCTAAGAAATCTGGACTACATGATAATATTAATTTTCTGTTTTGCATTCATGGAGTTTTATCAGGAGATAAAATTATATCACAATATAAAAACACCTGATTAAAATTCATATGCTTTCTTCAAAAATGATATATATCAGTTTCTTTATCTGCAAATTTCCTTCGATTACAGATCCGCAATTGAAGCTAATGCATATTTACAACCAGGATCTCTGAACCAAGCTTGATTAGGGGCCCTGGGCAGTACTTTGTGACCCTCACAAACATATCAACACTTAGTTTTTCTACATACACTTATATATGTTACAAATTAAACTAAGCAGAACTGACTATTAAAGGATGTAAAATTTTTGCAGATTTTGACATCATTCTGGGATTTTTTTTTTCAAATCTGTGAAATTTTTTTGCTCATTCTAAGTCTTGAAAAAACACTCTATAGAATTCAGTACCTTGAATTCATAATTTGAATGTTTTAAAATTCTTCAACTTTTTAACAAGACATCTCAAATTGATGTTAAAAATTGCTGCAAAACATTTTTGATTTATTCAAGATGGAATCATGTATTATGACATGTCTTTAATTTGTATTTAGATACATTGTATTTATTTTCAATTTTTCTAGTTGAATTATTCACCTATATTGCATATGATCCATTATTGTATATAATCAGGTTACAATAAAATTTACTTTTTATATGGAATTGGCTGGTCAACTTTAACACCTCAAAAACTAAACTGCTCTCTATTAATCACCATAGAGATCCTTCCCTGCCCCCCATTAGAATGTCTGATGCTCAACTACTGGAGAGCAACTCTCTGCGTCTGCTCGGTCTCACGTTGACTGCTGACTTGAGATGGAACAAATACATTGAGTCAATTGCTTCATCCACTGCAAGGAAAGTTGGCTCTCTGTGCCACGCCAGGAAATTTTTCTCCCCGGAATCGATACTTCAAATATACAAATCAACCATTCATCCTTGCATGGAGTATTGCTGCCATATATGGTCTGGTGCACCTTCTGTTTACCTCGGAGTTCTTGACAAGATACAGAGGTGGATATGTAATATAATTGGCTCTGATCTGGCATCTCGTCTACAGTTGCTCTCTCACAGATGTGCCGTCGCCTCTCTGTCTTTTTTACAAATACTTTCATGGTAATTGCTCTGATGAGCTGCTTTCACTGGTTCCCAGACTTCATGAATTCAAGCGCCCTACGAGGCAGGCATCCCGCTCTCACCCTTTCACTGTAGAAACTTTTAAATGTAGCCATCTCTTCTACTCCAATAGCTTCATACCTCGCACCTCTCGCCTGTGGAACACCCTTCCCTATTACTGTTTCCCTGAGAGCTATAATCTCTGACTATTCAAATGTAATGTCAATCGACATCTCCAGTTACCTTGATCTACCCACTATCCTTCTCCTCATCCTTTCTTCTATCACTCCTATCTGCTCTTGTTCCAAATCTTCTGCAACCCCCTGCATCCTAGTGGCTTCACGCATTGCTCGGGGCGTAATGCTTAAAAAAAAAAAAAAAAAAAAAAAAACTATGAATACTACCTTATGAAAATCGAGATGTAGTAGAGTGTCCCCCTAAATCATAGATTGGCGGGGGATGTGCAAGACCCTTGTACCGGTCCTGTGTGTGTGTGTGTGTATATATATAAAGTGAACATTGAAGTCAACACTTAGAGGCGACAGGCTGTTTCATGCTAGATGCAATTGTCAGGCCACAAGCGTTGTTTTTTTTTTTTCTCGGCTATTTATATATACAGTTCAGTGGTGCATTGTAGGTTTGCAGGAAGTAGTTTATTTTGGTTAATTTATTTTGCTTGTTTTTATTTATTTTTATTTTTTATTTTTATTTCTTATATATTTATTTATTTTTATTTTAATCGGTGTTTTATTAACATAGTAAAAATTTGTTTATATCGCTTAATTAATTGCTTTATTTTGGTTTGGGGAGATAATTAAAGATATTTATTCAATTTTGGGGTTGATTGCTGTAGTTTATTTTAGGGGGAGCAGTTTTTAATTTGTTTATTACTTTATTTATTTATTTGGTTTGATTATCTTTACTTGTTTTTTCTCAATAGTTAATTTATCAGCAGTGGTTTGTTAGCTTGTTTATTTATTTGGATTAATTTAGATTAGTTTATTTTACTTGTTTTTTTATTATTTATTTATTATACTGTATATTTTTATTTACTCTTTTCGTTTTTTGATTTTTAAATTATGTAGTATTTTTTATTGCTATATAACAGTTAAAGCTATGTTTTTTTGTTTGATTTTTTTCATGGCCAAAATATTGGACTGAAAAAAATCAAAGCCAAAAAATATAGCACACCTTAAGACTATATTTTTTCATATATATATATATATATACATATATATATATTCTACAGCTTCATAGATAAAACTTTTGTGTAATTGTTTGGTTTACTCATCAGGAGGTATCAGCTGTTAATTTTCTCATTTTCATTATTGAAGTTAAAATAATTTCTCATTTTCATTATTGAAGTTAAAAAAATAATTTCTCATTTTCATTATTGAAGTTAAAAAAATAATTTCTCATTTTCATTATTGAAGTTAAAAAAATAATTTCTCAATTTCATTATTGAAGTTAAAAAAATAATTTCTCAATTTCATTATTGAAAATAAAAAAATAATTTCTCATTTTCATTATTGAAAATAAAAAATAATTATATGTAAAAAAAAAAATCAACCTTTAACATCAATTTTTTATTGATTTTAAAGGTTGATTTTTCTTTGTGTGTGTATACATACACCTGTATATGTGTCTATATGTAGGTGTGTAGGATGTTGTGGCACTTTTTTCTTTTCATAATTTTCTTATACTCTCTTTGTCTCCTTATTGTCTCTCATTATTCTTTTCCTTTCTTTTCTTTATCTTTTGACTCTGAGTATCAAAAGATAATGCAACAATGTTATTTCTGGTATCAGAGATGACTTATAAAGGGTGATTCATTAAGACGGATTATATATAAGGGTGTTTCATTAAGAAGGATCAAAGTCAGCAGTAAATAAATCAGTGTTATTGGTGAAAATTTATTTATTTCTCTATTGGATCATGTTGTTTAAGTCATGGCAATTATGTTTGAATAATAATATCACCCAAACGTCAGCCAAGTCTTCGGTGGCACACCTCCACTCGATGGTCAAAAGTTTTGATGACGTCTCTGCATAGTTGCTGCTCAATCTTACCAATATGCCTTTTCTCATCCTTCAGCTGTTGAATTGTTGTTGGCAACTTTTAAGATGATCACAAAGGAAGAAGTTGCATGATCATGGTGGCCAATTGACTTCACTGTTTCAAGAGATGATGAGACCATGGAAACGTCTCATTCAATAAAGCCATTTTTGTAATAGGCTTCGATAACTTTAACATGTTAATTTTAACATTGTTAATCTTTCCATGGTTGAAATTGCCAAATACTTAAATTGTTAAATCTGAAATAAAAAGAAAAAATCATTAGATGCTTAAACTTAATTCACATTTAAAATCAGTCCAAGTTATTGGAACACCCTTTATTTGCACAAATTTTCCTGAATATTCTGCAGTTTTCTAAAGTTTTTGCAAATATAGGTGTATTCTATTTTTTATTTCTTGTTTAAATATTTTTTTAAAATTAATCTTTAAATAGTAAAGGAAATATATATATATATATATATATATATATATATATAGGAATCTAAATGAAATAATAATAAAAAAACAAAATCGAAAGAATATTAATCTACAACCCAGTGTGTCTAAAGATTTTAATTTTTTAATATTTTTTATTGTTCAAAATATATATATATATATATATATATATATATACACACACACACTCACAGAAAAATGATTTTAATGAAAAGTTCTTAGTATTCATGATATATTTTTGCACAGGTTTTATTTATTATTTACATTTAGACAGTTATCCTTGTCTTTATTGCCATAACGTTTCAGTCATTGTAGTTGCTGCTCTTCTTCAGGTGTCTGTTGATCTGAGTAACCTTCATGGAATTTCAAATTGAACCCTGTATTTAATCTATAAGAGTAGTGTGGACTTGTTCCACTGTCCATATAAAGAAATACCTTGTTCTTTTATATTATTCAGTTCTACTTAGTTATTGCTCATCCTGTTTCCACTGAGTCTGAATCTATACTACCTGGCTCTGGGATTGAACTCACAATTACTATGCCATTAAATTCACAAGCCAATATTTTAATCCTCTGGAATATTGTGTTGCAGACAATCCTGAATCTAGAACTGGGAATCTTAGACCTAATTTAATTATATTTGCCTGCCTGTTGCTGCCACCTTGCTGCAATGCTTCAGATTCTAAGCTTGAAACTGAAGTGTTGATTCCTATGTCTACACAGTCTGTATCTATCTTGTAACCTAGGGAAGGTTACTGAATAGAATAATCACATGAAGGATAATACTTAGGACAAGAACAACACATATAAGATTCGTCAGTGGTGCATAGAAGAAATAGTCAATTGCTAGAAGTGAGTCAAGTGTATTCCACAATGAATCTCCAACTGCAGACTAACATACAGTATTTACTACTGTATTTATGTGAATGGGTATAAACCTATTATCGTCCATAGGTATGCTACAACAATCTACAAATGCTCTATATCCAATATTGAGCACTATTCCCTTACAAATATCGCAAATTTTAAATATATATATATGATGGCCAGCTACACACATTTTTTGATCAGACCCATCTACTAAGGCAGCTAGCCAATCTCTTTTGCAGACATCTGCTCAGGTACATTCATTTAT